AGGTCAGGAATCAGATTACCACATTAAATGAATTTCATTCAAAGTCACAATTTAAGTCAAGCATAAATAAGGCTGTAAGAAAAACAATAACCATACAGCCAGCCCAGCATTAATCAATCAACCTGTAACCAGAATCAGCGTGCATTCACTTGTGAGTGGCTGCTACTTCCTGACACGATAACAGTGCTTGCATTAACTCCTTGGGTGACTTCACAACAGCAGACAGTGGCAGTCCAACACCATTTCTCACCACGAAGCTTAATTCCAGACAGCCTGTCATTGTGGACACATAAGTGAGTTAGAATGAATAGATAAGATGAAGATGAAAAATATAAAGAGACTGTGTGTGCCCTCTTGACTGTAGTTGCTGGTTTGTTTTCCTCTCATCTGTTTTTCTACTAGTGTGCTTATTTGATTTAGCTGAACATCCAATCTGTGGTTTATTTTGCACCCTCTGTGAAGATGGAAGCGACAGAAATGGCCAAAGGAGCAGACACACGCCGCAAAACATGACCGGCCAACACTCAACATCTCCTACTTTACCAATGCCCACTAATCTAGTTGGTGGGTGAGGGCCTTAATCCGTACTGCACAAAGTTGTTCGTCCAGTTACTTTTGAAGGTAGTGTGCTATTTAGAAACCTGGGGATTTCCAGGATGAACCATGTCATAATTCCCATTGATCAATCAATGGTCCACAGTGTTTTAACATCACCTTTCAGGATCAGCTCTCTCAGAACCATGGCTGGAGTGGAGCTAATAAAAGTGCCATCCCTAGTGGAATCCCATCAAGAGCAAACCGAGTCGAGGAGCGTAGAGCTGTTTGGGTTTTCCCTCTCCTGTAGTGTGTTATATAAATTGTAAGTTGTATGTAAAGGCTAAAATCCCCAAATTCCCTTCAGAAGGAGTTTCTCTCCCAGAAACACTCACCTTTCATTCTCTCAGTTCAGATGTTTGAACACAGGGACCTCTAGTGGTAAGAACTGGAAGGCCCTTTTTCCACGGCAGGGCAGAAGATTGAAGGCCAATGTGTATCAAACCACAAAGTGAAATACAACTATCAGCTAAAGACACCAACCTGTGTCCAAAGTGCACATTTTCAATATGTCGTGAACCGGGTCTTCAATATGTCGTGAACCGGGGCTTCAATATGTCGTGAACCGGGGCTTCAATAGTAGGCTAGGAAAAATACTAATACTTTTTCTAGTAATTTGTAAATGGGCTTTTTTGTCCAAGTCATGTTGAAAGAGTTGGAAACTCAACAAAAACACCAGCTCAATTAAAATCCACGAACTAGTCAATTATGCTAATTATACAAACATTTCATATTATCATACAGACGTAAACCTAATTTAAGGTAACATTGTCTTTTTATGTTGGTAGCAAGCATCATATCGACTTGTGTCATGTTCATTTGTTTGTATAGTGTGATGGGGATTGAATCACCGACCCTCTACTACTACAACGTTGGTTAACCACTTGATGCCAAACAAAGACACGCCACAAAGCCCCGAACATTTTTGCAAGTTTAATAGTTAAAGAATGAAAAAACACCTAGATGTTTTTGTCGTCACATACAGACCATGGTTTGGCACAAAATCCCCTACAATCCACTCCAATGAACGAAGTCACAGAGGCACTTTCATCGTGAGCAGGCCAACTGAGCCATTGAGCCGGTGAAGACACGGAGGAGTCTGGAGGAACATCCTGGAGGAACATCCGTACGGAGCGGGGACTTCAGCAACCACCTCCCAACAATCCTCCACTAAAGCTAGGAAAAGCAACGGAGAGGAGGAAATCTCTCCTGATCTGGGGG